TTTTTTGAGTCAGAATCTCTCTCTGTTACCCAGACTGGAGTGCAGTGGTATGCTCACGGCCACCACAGCCTCGACCTGATGGGCTCAGACAGTCCTTCCACCTCAACCTTCCAAACAGCTGGAACTATAAGCATGCTCCATGACACCATGCCCAGCTAATTTTTTTACAATAGTAGAGGCAAGATCTCGCCAAGTTCCCCAGGCTGGTCTTGAACCCCTGGGCTCAGGCAATCCTCTCACCTCCACCTCCCAAAGTGTTGGGATTGCAGGCATGAACCACCACCAGCAAGATTAAAGGTGTGAACTGTTGCCCTTGGCCAGTTCCATTTCTTTTTTGGTGGTAGTTGACTTCATATAAAGTAGTTGATGATGATGAGAAATGGAGCCGGAGCCGGTAATCACGGAACATTTCCTTTTGTAGACACTGTGCTCAGCATTTTATGATGTCATTCAACTTACAACACAACCCTGTGAAGTGGGTCTTGTAACTATTACTGTTATTCCTGTTGCAACTGAGGCCCGAGCTAGTTGTGGACGCAGACTTAGAGGCCAGGAGCAAATGACAACCGAATGCACTGATGACCACGTCCTGATGATTTAATTCAGCATCCAGGGGTTGGTAGTAGGTAGCCATGTCTAGGTGGAAGAATTCCATTTTACTTCTCTTTCCTCTTAAAGATTTCATAGCAAATTACTTTGATAAATGACTATAAACTAAGCATTATATACACAGAGTGCCCCAAAATGTATACACATTTTATGAAAGGAAAAAACTGTATTAAAATTGTAATACTCAGTGCATAGCAATAGGCCGGGCTCGGTGGCTCAGCCTGTAATCCCAGCACTTTGGGAGGCCGAGGTGAGTGGATTGCTTAGGCCCGCAGGTTCAAGACCTGCCCGGGCAACTTTGTGAGACTTTATCTCTACAATAAATAAATAAAAAACTAGCCTGGCGTGGTGGCACGCACCTGTAGTTCCCGCTACTTGGAAGGCTGAGGTGGAAGGATGGCTGGAGCCCAGCACGGCAAGGCTGCGGTGGCCGGGAGCGTGCCCCTGCACTCCAGCCTGGGTGACAGAGTGAGACTCCGACTCAAAAAAAAAAAAAAAAACCAATAACAAAAGATGAATACAAGTCACATTTGACTTCTGCAATGACAGGAGATGCTCAAAGTGGTCACCATCAGCGTCCAGACACTTCTGATGACGGTGAACTAAAAGTAATACATAGATAACATCTCTTAAAATGTGTATACTTTTTTTTGGCACCCTTGGGATTTGGATTGCAAGTGTTCAGATCTGTTGTGGCTTAGAAAATAAAATCTGACCCTGTAGTTCTAACAATTCTGGAGGCGGGGGTGAGAGGATTGCCTGAGCCCAGGGGTTTGAGACCAGCCTGGATAATTTGGCAAGACCTCTTCTCTGCAATAAATCAAAAAATTAGCTGGGCATGGTGGGGCGTGCCTGTGGTTCCAGCTACTTGGAAGGCTGAGGTAGAAGGATCGCCTGAGCCCATCAGGTTAAGGCTGCGGTGGCCGTGAGCGTGCCACTGCACTCCAACCTGGGTGACAGAGTGAGACTCCTACTCAAACAAACAAACAAACAAACAAATAAAAACCTGTGTCAGAAAGTGACTTGAATATGTCTTTTTTCCGGCTATGGTAGGAGCTGTCTGCAGAGTGGATGCATTAACAATAGATCACTTTTAGATCTCAAGAGCAGTGCAGTTGACTTCTAAAACCTTGACAGTGAGCACACTTTGATTGATATTGATAGTGTAAGAAACATGTGGCAGCAGAAATAATAAACCATGTGTTTCCTTCTTGGGAAGAGCTAAGCTTTTCCACGAGGGAAGCTGGAGACAGAATTTTAAATGTTGTTAATTCATACATTTAGTCTAATTTTCTTTCTCAAACAGGAAATCAGTCAAGATCATTTTGCTTCCATCTTAGTTTACTTAATTCAACTGTTCCCTGCTTATTTTATTTTTACAGTTGACAAACTGAGTCCTTTGAAATGGCTGATCATTTCCTAGCTATGATGTCAGCCAGTGTGAGCTGGAGTGATTGAGAACAAATAGAAAGATGTCTAATTTTGGTTGTCTTTCTTGAATTTCACCAAGATATCTACGTGGTAAAAAGTCCAGTTGGTGTTGCAGCTCGTTGAAAGTTGCTTAGTCTGAAATCACAGTATTCTGGCTATTTTTCATCTTTCAGTTTTTTATTATTTTTTTTTTTTTTTGAGTTGGAATCTCATTCTGTCACCTGGGCTAGAGTGCAATGGCACGCTCATACCACTGCAATCTTGACCTGCTGGGCATAGGCGATCCTTCCATTTCAGCCTTCCGAGGAGCTGGAACTACAGGTGTGTGCCACCATGCCTGACTAATTTTTTGATTTATTGTAGAGACGAGGTCTCACCAAGTTGCCCAGGTCTTGAACCCCTGGGCTCAAGCAGTCTTCTTGCCTCTGTCTTCCAAAGTTCTAGGATTACAGGTGTGAGCCACTGTGCCTGGCTTCAACTTTTTGATAAAGGCAGCTTTTGTTTTAGATATTACTTAGTTTACTTTCAAAATCTGGCCAGGTGCAGTAGCTCACGCCTATAATCCCAACACTTTGGGAAGCAGGGGTAAGAGGATTACTTGAGCCCAGGAGTTCAAGACCAGTCTGGGCAACATAGCGAGATCTTGTCTCTACCAAAAATAAAAAAAATTAGCCAGTTTGGTGGCATGTGCCTATAGTTCCAGCTACTTGGGAGGCTGAGGTGGGAGGATTACTAGAACCCAAGAGGTTGGGGCTGTGGTGAGCCATGATCATGCCACTGCACTTCAGCCTTGGTGACAGAGTGAGACCCCAACTCAAAAAAATCTGTCCAAATCTAATGATGTGTGTGTCCTTAGGCATGGCTCCAGAGGAAGGCTGGGGGCACATTATCATGATGGTATTGGGACAGGGTCAGGAAACCTGGGTTTTAGTCTTGGTTCTGTTACTAAAATGACTATTGAACCTTGGGAAAATTCGTTATCTTTTCTGAACTCCATTGTCTCTTTTGCAAAAGGGTAGAATCGGCTCCAATGCTGATTTTAGAGCTAAATCTTCATTTTTTCACAAGCCTCATCTGGCAGCCAAAGCTGTGGCCTTCCAAGGAAAAGACAGCTTAGCATGGGGCAGACAGTAGGTTGACAGTGGGAGCCTGGTGGTGCCTCTGGGGCCAAGGCCATCTCCTCCCGAGAGCACTTAGTCAAGAGTGGCATGTAGTTTATGTATGGTGTAGGGCGTGTGCACATGCTCACTTGCAGGGCTTTGGCTTTGCTCAGCACATTCAGAGAAGTGAGTTAAGCTTACCTGTCGTTTTTTTTTTTTGAGTCGGAGTCTTACTCTATCGCCTGGCTGGAGTGCAGTGGCACACTCGTGGCCACCCCAACCTCGACCTGCTGGGCTCCGGTGATCCTTCTACCTCAGCCTTCCAAGTAGCCAGAACTACAGGTGTGTGCTACCACGCCTGGCTAATTTTTTTTTTTTTAATTGTAGAGACGAGGGCTCACCAAGTTGCCCAGTCTGTTCTCGAACCCACATGCTCAGGCAATTCACTTGCCTCAGCCTCCCAAAGTGCTGGGATGACAGGCTGAGCCACTGAGCCCAGCCTTTCCTGTCTTTTTCAGTGGGTTCTTCCAAAAGGTCCGTGTTTTATCAGGATTAAGAGAGGTGTCACTTGGTCCTGAGCACTAGCAAATCACCATGTAACTATGGGTTCGTCTCTACTCAGGGGCATTTCTATTCTTGACACAAGGATAATTTCAGAAAATGCCACTAAAAGTGGCCTCTCCCCTGTGTTTTGCTCTCTCCCCTTCCTGTGTGTTGTACTAGTCCCTTTGGCGTTCTTAGAGGACGCACTTTTTTGTGGACCTGCCTCTTGGTTTTTCAGCTGTTCCCAATTGTTGGGAAAGGTTCACAGTCGCATTTCTTGTTGCAGCCTGGGAAGAAAATGGAAGGATATTTGCCACTGTCCAATTGTCATAATTATAGCATACGACTGCAGAAAGCAGAAAAAGGCAATTAGGGAGAAAAGTCCTTCTTCATCTGCAGAGAAGGCGATAGAAATGGCAAATTTCCCTGCTGATGCTTTGCCCTTTGCCAGTGAATTATTTCAAGAGTTCCTCAGGTCAGGGTCAGGTTTTGCTGTGCCCACATCCAGATTTCTGTGTCTGGAGATCTAAGAATTCTAAGATTGCCATAGACTGACCTCCTCGAAGCCCCTGTGCAGGCCCCTAGGTCACTTCGGAGGTAGGGGAGAATATTCTGGTAGCATTCTTGTTGACTGTACGTCTGAGCCCAAAAGATGATTAAGCACGGTAATTAGTGGCGCTCATCTTCACAAGGTGCATCCTGCTGGGATTGGGATATGTTTGTAACGCTTTATGGTTTATGAGGTTTGTGAGAGGAATGCTCCCAAGAAGACTGGGAACCAGTTGAGCGCTCACTTCATTTGACACAGGAGCAAAGAACTTCAGCTCAATTAATTGACTTTCCTAAGGTCACACGAGGAAGGCACAGCCCCACTGAAGAGGTCTGTCAGGTTGAAGAGGTCGGTCAGGATACAGAAGGACATCGCTGTTGCTTTGCCTTTGTTCCTCTTTGATTTTGTCTCATTTCTTTTCTTGCTTTCTTGTTTTTTTTTTGAGTTGGAGTCTCACTCTGTCGCCCAGGCTGAAGTGCACAATCATGGCCACCGTAGCCTTAACCTGCTGGGCTCAGGCAATCTTTCCATCTCAGCCTTGCAAAGAGCTGGAACCACAGGTGTATGCCACTACACCTGGCTAATTTTTTATTTACTGTGAGATGTCTTACCAAGTTGCCCAGGCTGGACTCGAATTCCTGGGCTCAGGAGGTCTCTTGGCCTCCCAAAGTGCTGGGATTATAGGCATGAGCCACTGCACCCAGCCTTGTCTCATTTCTTTAGGAAAACATTTCCAAGCTCCTATATTCAAGTCTTCCCTTCATGTGTTAATATGTGCCATATTTAGTTATTCAGTGTATTGCTAGTTTTACTATGAGATTTATCTTTTTCTTTTTTGTTCAAAATACAGGATTTGGAGAAAAGTGATGTACTGAGGAAAAATTACCTAGGTAAGTAATGATTTTTTTTTTTACATATGTATATGTTCTCAAGTGTATTTAGCATACATTTTTTCTTTCTGATTTTATTTATGGGTAGATATTGTATAAATATTTACTCTTTGGCCCAGACCAACATTCACCCTCATGAAGACACATGGTGAACACTTTTCGGACTGGCATGTGTATGTGATTGTACTGGAAGTAGCATCGAATATGTAGGATTTAATTTTCTCTGGTGTCATTCACTGACCTTCTGTAAAGGTAAAGCACCATGCCAGGTGTGCACTGTAGACAGTGCAGAGATGAAGAAGGTGTGGTCTCTGTTCTTAGGAACCCACACTGGGTGGGAGAAAAGGACAGGCTGTGGCCTGTGCTCTTGCCTCTTCTGCCTCTGGAGACCCCTCCTCGCCTTTCAGAGTCAGATCCCAGCCACATCTGCCAGGCTCGCCCCGAGCGCACTGGCCTGCACGCAGCTACCCGCTCCTTTGTAAGGTATGGTGCTTCTGTCATGGCCTGGTCACGTCCTTATTTGTAGTCCTTTTAAAACACATCCTCTCCTCATCCCCCAGTATGTTGTGACCGTGCGTTAGTCTTTTGTTAGGTCAAAATCCCAGCAGGGCATCCAAAATGTTAGACCCAAGAGAAGTTCTATGACTGGGTGCCATGCATAAGATACAAAGAAGGGCACAGAAGTTAGATAAAATATAGTTTATTGTGATCTAAGTAAATTGGAGACAGAGAGATATAGAAAGAGAGAGAGAGAAAGATGAAAGAGAGAGAGAGAGGAAGAGAGAGCGGGGGGAGAGAGAGAGAGAGAGAAAGCCAGAGAGGCGAGATTCACCGCCCCAAGGTAGGGGAGGGGGCCAAAGTTTAGGAAAACATGGCGGCCATAGCTCAAAGAGCCACATGGCCTGGTGATTGCTTAACAAAAACAATGGCCATAGTTGAGATTGAATGCCTTTTAAAGCTTCTCTTTGACGTGGGCAGGTCATTCAGGGAATTAGGTGGTGGTCTGTTTCAGGTCATCATGAAGGGCATATGATGCCATGATGATGGATGGGAGGCAGATGGGTGGGTTCGTCACATGACAGCTACCATGGTGACGGGATCTGTCTGTGTCATGAAGGTCACGACATTCTGATTAGGTTAACTTGGTTTAGGCAAATACTTGGACTAGAAAAGCTATTTAGTGTAAAACAAGCTGGGGAGGGGTTATAAAACAATTATCAATAGCTACCTCTGAAAAACTAGTTCTGTCCTTTATTAGCGGGTAAGCTAGGTAACTTTAAGAGAATATGACAGAACTAGGCAGTGTCAAAATGGCTGCTCTTTGCCTATTTCAGATCCACTTTGGCCTTTCTTCTTTATTTTTTAGTTTCCTGGGAAGCATGCTTAGTGTGTTGATGGGTGGGTAAGGCTGCACCTCTGTAGGTGATGATGGGTTTCTCCATGAAGGGTGTGGGCTTTGTCAATGTCCTTCATCCCAGGGTAGGCTATGAGATGTGAAAGACAGCTCTGGGTGGCCGGTAGAAGGAACACATTCCTGGATTGCCTGAGCCCATGGGTTTGAGACCCACCCAGGCGACTTGGTAAGACCTCATCTCTACAATTAAAAAAAAAAAAATTAGCCAGGCAGGGTAGCGTGTGCCTGTAGTTCTAGCTACTTGGAAGGCTGAGGCGGAAGGATTGCTGGAGCTCAGCAGGTCGAGGCTGCGGTGGCCGGGAGCATGCCACTACACTCCAGTCTGGGCAACAGAGTGAGACTATGACAAAATAAAAAGGAACAACACATTTCTTCCTAGGCCTTGCCTTTCTGGGCCTGGATTCTGAGGCATGCAGGAGAGGTGCCTGGGTGGAAGGAGGAGGATGGCCTTTGCTGGGGAGGCATGTTGGACCCACAGGGCCCAGGATTGGGATCTAGGGTCCTGGGAACAGCTGTCTTTAAGGAACATCTGTCTTTAAGGAGCCTCATCCCTTCACACTTTTCCTTCTATTGTCCAACACTCTGCAGGGCCAGTCCTTTCTTTCCACGTGGAGAATTTTTCTCCCTGTGGTCCACCCTGGCGGCTTTGGGCATTTGTTGTATGTTTATTTTGTGGAAGCTGATGAGTCTCTGATTATTAAATGAATCTATTACTGGAGTCTGGAATGTGGGCTTGAAACTACCCAGGGGACATTACCCTGGGCAGGTAAATTTACATTCCTGTAATTGCAAATAGCAAGTGGAGTGATGCCTAACTGGGTCTGACTTCATCTGAAAAAGACCCTGGGGGCTTCTTTGTCACAATCTTTATATGGGCCTGAAGGACCAGGGCTAACTCGGTGACTGAGACCCTGGGTTCACAATACTCAGGGCTGAGTGACAGCCTCTAAGCACAGGTCGGTGCTTTTGTTTTCTCTTTCGGCTCTCTGTCTGATCATGCTTGGCATGGCCCTGTGTGTGTGTTATGTGTGCACATGGATCCCAGCTTTAAATCATAAGGCTGCTTGTTGTTCACCTTTCATCAGAAGAACACCCTGTTGATTTCTCATCAGAAAAACACCAGCATCATGCTGACCCTTCTTCTAGATCATTCCTGACCAGGAGGATGAGCAGTTGGTGGAGTGCTTGGCCCAAGATAGGTGCTCAGAAACGGAAGAAATACGAAGCCTTTGGTTTCTTTTCCTTTCAGAGAAGAATCATTCATCTCCCTTTTCTCTTATTTCCTTGGTTCTGCTGCATTTACCAAATGCTCTCCGCAGCTCACCGTTGTCTTCTGCACACCTTTCCGGTACTTTCCATATCCTGGACTTAGTTCTCTATCTTCCCGTTCTTGCCTGGCACCTTGATCATAATTGTCAGGCACCTAGCATGCAGCCCATTTATTGCACATGCCTGGAGGAGAAACAATGATGCTCCATCTTGAGTTGTCACAATGTTTGCTGAAGGCAAATTGGAGTGAATTTTAAGGAAGTGCAACCGAGATAATAAAGAATTCGAACTGTCTTACTTATTAGCTCTGTGATCTGGGCAGGGGAGCTTAAGAGTCAGGTGCTTGGATCGCATGCCACAGAGAGGACAACCACCAAGATGAGCCCTGGGATCTGGACTCAGCCAGAATGTGATTCAGCCAAGGAAAGGCTTAGGCTGTATGTAAGAAAAGATTTTTTTGGTGCTGCTATGAAGAACATCAGGAATTTAAACATAAGCTGTTTTCAGCACCAAACTGTCCTGAGTGTGCTAACCTGGTTCTTTTCTGGAATGGGTTGGGGCTGGATAGCATGTAAATGATCTTCTGTCAGTCATTATTATCAGGGTTATGAGCGCTTCGTGTCCCCTGCCCCTTTAGCCTTGTTGTTGACAATTGCCCCCCCACGAATCGGAAGAATTTACTTTCTTATTTCAAAGCCTTTTTCCTGTATGGAAGTATAGTGGGTATGTTGCTGAGCTGGGAGCTGGTGAAAGTAGTGGTGGTTGGTTACTGTGGTGAGCATAGGATTAACCTTTTTAACCCTAGATCAGGATTTTTTTTTTTTTTTTAAACTTAACATGAAATACTCTGGTTTTTTTTGTTTTTTTTGAGTTGGAGTCTCACTTAGTCACCCAGACTGGAGGGCAGTGGCGCGTTTCCGACCACCACAGCCTCGACCTGCCGGGCTCTGGCAATCCTTCCGCCTCAGCCTTCCAAGGAGCCGGAACTACAGGCACACGCTACCACACCCGGCTAGTTTTTGATTTATTGTAGAGGCAAGGTCTCGCCAAGTTGCCCGGGCTGGTCTCGAACCTGCGGGCTTAGGCAATCCACTCTCCTCGGTTTCCCAAAGTGCTGATTACAGGCTGAGCCACCGAGGGGCATTACAGGCTGAGCCACCGAGCCCGGCGAAATACTCTTAACATATATAAAGTTACAAAGAGTACTGTAATGAACATCCATGTATCCTACAACTAGATGAAGAAGTGAAACATGACTGTTGGGTTACATCTCGGTGGAACCTACAAAAATGTTAGGGCACACTCCCACCGAGGCCTCCAGAATGTTAGGTTAGGCCCAGTGGAAGTGTGGGATGTCTGGTGTGCAATCCGATGCCACGTGAAAGATGCAAAGAATTGCATAGAAGTTAGATTAGAAAATACAGCTTATTTAGAAAGTAAGTTAGAGAGAGAAAGAGGAGTTTCGCCTCCCCAAGGTAGGGGAGGGGTCCAAAGCTTAAGAAAACATGGCCTGGCCATAGCTTAGCAAGGCAATGGCAAAATGGCTGCTCATGGTTGAGTCCTTTTAACCTTTTCCTTGGATGGGGGAAGGTCATTAAGGTGATTGGGAGGTGGTCTGTTTCTTGCCATCAAGAAGGAGCGGGTAAGCACAGGTACTCACTTCAGGTGATGGACAGCAGGCAGATGGGTGGGTTAGTCACATGATTGCTGCCGTGGTGATGGGCTAGATGGGAGGAGACAAGGGGAGGGTGTGTGTTCCCCCCCAGACTTGTTTGTAATTCACAAACTCCATGACCAAAAGGTGGTCTTATTATTATTTTTATGGCTTTAGCCAGCCAAAGGATGATCTTTGATTTTTATCCTTGTCAAGGAACCTGAAAGTTTACTAGAGTTTATTATACTAAATCATGAATTGAAAGGTTGGGCTGTCCTGGTCTTCCATCTGATGGAGATTTGCAGAGGGGGTGGGGTAGGCTGCCAGCTTGGCCAGCAGTGAAATGTCTGAACGCTTCCTAAAACCTGCCTCCTGGAAATTTATCTATGTCTAACCTGTGCTAGATTCAGAGTGTGTCGGGGTAGAGTCTAAGCAAAAATGGCGAAAAGACTATGCTAAACTAAACTTATTCTAGGTTTCTGTAGGTACCTCCTTTCAATGACTAATAACGGCCGAAGCCTTTTAGTGATGTTTATCATCCTCATGTAATCTTGATACTTTTTTATGCTATGTATGTGTATGTATAGTATGTATTTTCTATATGTTTGTGTTTGTATTTTTGCAAACTGTTGATTATAGTTACTCTGCTACAACTCACCTTTTTCAGGTTTATCTGTGGGATTCGTTTACAGTATCCATCTGGGTTGGTACATGGAGTGTGCTGGCTAATTTTTATTGCTGTATAGTATTCCAGTTTGCATTTCTTGTTTGAGGGTATTTAGTTTGCTTTGGCTTTTTTTCCTTTTATCCAGTGCAACTGTGAACATTCTTGTGCACACATGAGAGTTTCTCAGCGATGATTAATAGAAATTAATAGAAATTAATGGAATTTCTGGGTCATGGAGAATGGGTGTCTTCAACCTTTTTAAATTCTGCAAAAATTATCCTCTGTAGCTTATTATCTTTATTCTTAACGAAAAGAAGACTTTATATGACTTCTCTTTGGATATGTTCATTTATAATAATGTTTCAGATGTAGCAGGTCCAAGGTAACATTTCAGCTGAAACATAAGACACTTGTTTAAGTCTTATCCGTGTGTCTAGTGAATAGCCCAGAAGCTGATTTAAAATAGAGGCAGGTAAGTGAAATGTTCCTATTTATATAAACTCCTTAGGAAAAGGAATTAGGTCACTTCAGTAGACTGTTCAGCATTTGCTTTTAAATTTTTTATTGAGTTTTAACCAAAGAGCATTTTGGGTTATTTTTAGGGTTTAAATGGCTCACTGTGGAGCTATCTGTGGTATGAATATTTGAGTGAGTGAATAAATGAACGGAGCCATAGAACTGAACATAAGAACAATAAAACGTAATGGAATAAAATTATAACCAAATTAGTGTCCCTGAGCTGAGGTGCTGAAGAGAAAGACTCGTGGTATTTTGTAGGTCCCCACGTGGATTTGCTGGACACCTGGCTAGAGGCTACAGATTATATGACACCTCCCTTCTATTGATGCCTGTCTGGTGGCAGGGTGCTGATGCAATGGCTGTTTTATTCATTTCTTTATTGTGCGTTCAGGCTGGGGAGGCCTGTTCTGCTTCTCCAGGCCAGACCTGAGCATTCACCTTTGTTCCAGGCCTGCTAGTGGTTCTCCCAGCCAGTGGGCAGGACAGACTCCCTGCTCACCATCCATTTATAGTGATGGCCGCCTCGAGGCAAGTCTCAGCAGACTGGCGAATACTGCCAGAGTGTTGTAGGGGAACTTTTCTGTGACACTTCTTACTAAAGCCCTGCTGCTGTGGAATTGTTCTGGCTGGTTTTCTGGAGATAACACTTAATCCTGGCTAGGTGCCTTGTGAGGTGGGGTAGGGATTATTGAGTCATTTATTTGCAAACTCACGGGACATATGAAGTCGTTGAGTTTGGTCTTAAAGGGCCGTCCCGAACATTCTTGAAGCTGTGCAGTTGTGAGCTAGGACTGCATGACAAAACATCGCACACTGTGGCTTAAGCAACAGACATTGATCATCTCCTGGTTCTGGAGGCTAGGAGTCAAGGTGTCCACTGGGTTGGTTCCTTCTGGCTTGATGGAAGGATGTATGCCAGACCTCTCTGCTTGGCCTGTAGATGGCCATCTTCTCAATGTGTCTTCATGTCCTTGTCTTTGTGTGTTTGTCTCTGTCATCCCAGCACTTTGGGAGCCAGAGGCTAGAGAATTGCTTGAGCCCACAGGTTCGAGAGCAGCCTTGGCAACATGGCGAGGCCTCATCTCTACAATAGATCAAAAAATTAGCTGGGCATGGTGGCGCACACCTGTAGTTCCAGCTACTTGGAAGGCTGAGGCAGGAGGATCACCAGAGCCCAGTATGTTGAGGCTGCGGTGGCCATGAGCAACAAGCATGGGCAGCAGAATGAGACTCTGACTCACAAAAAAAATTAAAAAAAAAATAAAGACACCAGTCATGCTGCATCAGGGGTCCCCCCCCCCCAATGACCTCACTTTAACTTGATGCCTTCTTTGAAGATGGAATTCCAAATAAAGTCACAGTCCAAGACACTGGGGGTTAGGACTTAAACATAAGAGCTTTGGGGGGCACAATTCAGCTCATACCAGTAGCAGCACAGTGTAGGATTATGTGGAAATTGTTAAAAAGCTACTTGTGAACATGAGGTTTTTCAGCTTCTAGGAAGGTTAGTGTTCTAGACATTTTCATCCTTTCACACATTTACTGTTATTCTTTCTGACAGATACTGGAACAGATTCACAGTTTGGTACCACAGACTTGGTCTGATACAGTCAGCTCATTTACTTGCTAACTTCTCGGAAGGAAGTTTTGGAAATCGGTTTAAAAAGAAAATTTTATCTCTAGAATTCCATAAAAATTGATTTTTTTTCTCCCCAAGGGTTGATTGCCCGACGGCTTGCCTTGTAGCTGTTGTTTTTCACATGTTTTCAAATTTATTTCAAGCATTGCTAAAAAAAGAAATACCTGAAAAAATTTTTGTTTGTCTGTTTTTTGGTTCTAGACTTAAAAGGAATTGTATTTGTCATCCAGAGTCAAAGTAATTCTTTTCATGCAAAGAGAGCAGAGCAATTAAAAAAAAGCATCTTAAAGCAGGCTGCAAATCTTACAAAGGTACGTAGAGATGGCTTGGGATGTCTGCTAATTATGTATTTCTTAATGTATTTATGTTTCCAAAGCACTTGGTCGGTAGAGAATCAATTTTATTGAGATGAGAATAACTCTTCTGACTCGTTTTGCTTATTTAATATTGATTGTTTATTGTTGAGAATCTGAGAATGCTTTGATTAATTCCTAATGCTGAACGCATCCTAGTCTAGGTTATTATATATATATTTTTTAATTTAAGAGAATTATGTAATTGTGTGGGACTGCTGTAGCTTTTCATGAAGTATAAGAAAAGGAGGTGGAAGAAATAACTTTTTAAAGGCAAGGCTTAAAATAGCAGAGATAATTAATGTTCAAAAATTTTGGTAACAAGTTCTAAGCCAATTTTCATGTTGAAATAACAGTTTCATTAATCTTCGTGCGGCGTTCCTCTATGAGTCTCTTAATCTGTTTTTTTAATTGGATGTCATTAATTTAACTTTGGATTTGATTTATAATGAAATATTCCAGAAGGATTATGGAGAGAAAAATCTACACATGCAGGTACATTTTAATAACAGTTAAAATAGGCACGAACTGAATCTAAAAGAGTTCTAGTAGTGCTGGAGGTTTGGATAAGCGAAGGTCCACCCTCATGTGCTTTCTACCCTGTCGGTGCTTTTTTCTCCAGCCAAGTAAGATAAAAACTCCTTCAAGACCTCTGTGCTGTGTCGCGATGGCCTTCAAGACAGAAGTGCTTGTCTGCAGATAAATGCCATCCTTCTGCTTTCTCAGGAAAGAACTCTTTGACAAGAAACGTGTATGTGTTTGTGACAGGTTGCTTTCTTTCTGTTGGTAGGGGCTGGAAAATAAAGGATCAGAAGTATAAATGGAAACATATTCAAGCCTTAACCATATTCAAGGCAGAGGACTGCTGAGAATAAGGTTTATTTTGCTGCTTCTTCAGAAGCTTTACATATAAACATCATCAAACCTCCCATCCCTGCATGGACAGTTGCCCTACTCGAAACATCGTACTTTCTCAAGAGAGAAGGAAAAAATGACATGCTGTTGATAGGTTGTTATTTGTTAATCAGAGAAAGGGGTGACCTGATAAGTGTAGAATTCTCCTCTTTCTGGAAACCTAACTTGTAGAGATTTTTTCCTACCAAACCTTTCTGGATTTCATCAGAGAGGTGGACACGTGGCAACCTTGACTGACAGCTTTTTCCATCTCTTTGCTGGGAGCTCTAGTGGGGTGACTGGATGCAGGCCTCTGCAGGGAGGAGGGTCACCAGTAGGCTGAATGATCAGTCTCTCCATTGAGTCCAGGCCGGCACAAACTGGGTGTAGCTCAATCAGACCTTGGCAGTGACCACAAGTTGTGTGACCAGTGATGACATCAGAACATAGTTAGGCACCACTTATTGATAGACGAGTTAAGAGCATACTTTCCCCATGTTACCTGCGTGTGTTCCTGCTCCCAGAAATACCTTCTGTCTTGCAGATTTATGTTTTCTAGAAGAGCGGTGGCCAACCTTTTTGGCATCAAGGACTGGGATCATGGAAGACAATTTTTCCATGGCTGGAGCGGGGGTGGATCATCAGATATTAGATTCTCATAATGAGCACACAACCTAGATCCCTGGCATGTGCAGTTCCCAAGAGGGTTCTTGCGCCTATGCAAATCTAATGCCTCTGCTGATCTGACAGAGGGCGGAGCTGTGCTCCCTACCCTCCACCATTCCTGCTGTGCGGCCGGTTCCTAACAGGCCTTGGATCAGTATCCATCTGCAGCCCGGGCCTTGGAGACCCCTATTCTAAATGATTCGTCTACCCTTTAAATCCATACTAATAGTCCTTGTGACTAATGTGGGTAGTGACATCCCTTGCCAGCCACGTCCAGGTTGATTGAATATACCCCCATACTCCCTTTTCTATTTTTCTACTCTTTTTTTAGTGGTGGAGGGGACACAAGTTTTTGTGTGTGCGCACATGGGTACTCATCCTTATCCCTCTGCCTGTCTTTCCCCTTCAATCTTCTGGAAAGTGTAGTTTTCAGCACACCTTGAATCAGTGTTCCTGGGACTTGACTTAAATGGGAATAAGGAGGCTGTGGGCACCTTTTGGTGGAAGGCAATAGAAGCGATAAAATGTTCCTTCTTCGGCCGGGCTCGGCGGCTCAGCCTGTCACCCCAGCACTTTGGGAGGCCAAGGGGAGTGGATTGCCTGAGCCCGTGGGTTCGAGACCAGCCCAGGCAACTTGGCGAGACCTCCTCCCTACAATAAATCAAAAATTAAGCCGGGCTCGGTGGCTCAGCCTCTAATCCCGCGCCTTTGGGAGGCTGAGTTGAGTGGATTGCCTGAGCCCGCGGGTTCGAGACCCTCCTGGGCAACTTGGCGAGACCTCATCTCTACAATAAATCAAAAAGTTAGCCGGGTGTGGTAGCGCGCACCTGTAGTTCCAGCTACTTGGAAGGCTGAGGTGGATGGATTGCCGGAGCCTAGCAGGTCGAGGCTGCGGTGGCCGGGAGCAGCCACTGCACTCCAGTCTGGGTGACAGAGTGAGACTCCAACTCAAAAAAAAAAAAATTAGCCGGGCATGGTGGCATGCAACTGTAGTTCTGGCCACTTGGAAGTCTGAGGCAGAAGGATTGCTGGAGCCCAGCAGGTTGGGGCTGCAATGGCCTTGAGCATGCCACTGCACCCCAGCCTGGGCGACAGAGTGAGACTCCAACTAAAAAAAAAAAAATCCTTCTTCTTTCTTCCTCTTAGGAAAAATGAGAGTTGGGAGGGTCCTGCCGGGGGCTGAGTAAGCCTGCTTCTTTGGGAGGCTCTGGGACTGTAGAGGACAGGGCCCCGGTGCAAGACCTCTGGATGCTTCAAACTGACCGCAGACATCGGGAAGGATGGTTAGAAGTTCCCATTTAAGCAGAACCTGGCAGTTACATTTAGGAATGGAGAACGTGTGTTGGAGCTTCTCCTTGGTGTCTCTCAGGAGTTGAGGCAAAATGGTGAGCAGCTGAGAGGGCGTGGGTCCAGGAGGGTGGTAGGAACCTCTAGTGCTTTTTCCTTTTTGCAAGACAGTTGCACCAGAGCTTTTTAAAAAATTTTTTAAATTTATATTTTATTTTAAAAGATGTGATGCAATTCAGGATTAGGTATACAAGTAGGCATCGTACAGGTAAAGTTTGGGCCTCCCTTTGGTCCCCACTTTGCCTAGTTTGAGATCAGGCACCCTTACCTTTACTGATGTTGAGTCCCCCAACCCACCCACCCCAGCAGTATCCCACCAATACTGTTCTTATATTATTATGGTAAATGTCCAGGGTCCACTTATGAGTGAGAACATGTGGTACTCAGTTCTTTGTGTCTGTGATAGATCACTGAGTATGATAGACTCTAAATCCATCCAAGTTGCTGTGCAGTCTGTATATTTGTCCTTCTTTATGACTGCGTGTACCAGAGCTTCTTTCTTCTTCTTCTTCTTTTTTTTTTGAGTTGGAGCCTCACCCTGTCGCCCAAGCTGGAGTACAGTGCCATGCTCATGACCACCCCAGTGTCGACTGGCTGGGCTCAGGCAGTCCTTCCGCCTCAGCCTTCCAAGTAGCCAGAACTACAGGCACACACTACCATGCCTGGCTAATTTTTTGATTTATTGTAGGGATGAGGTCTCGCCAAGTTGTCCAAGCTGTTCTTGAACCCGTGGGCTCAGGCAATCCCCTCACCTTGGCCTCCCAAAGTGCTGGGATTCAAGTTTGAGACACCACACCCGGCCCCAGAGCTTCTTTACTGACATTTCTGTCTGCGGATCCCAGCTTCGTCTCCCACCACTCGCCTCCCATGTCATACTTTTATTTGTAGTAATTTCCAACTTCTTATGGTTGCGTGGTCACCTCGCTTCATACCTGTGGCTTTTCATAAGTTAATCCTGTTTCCTTGTCAAGTTCCTGTGTCTCCAGGAAGCCTTTCTGTGAATCTTCTTAACTCATATTGCTAAGTCACTTCCTCTTGGATTTCTCTTTTATATCTTTTATAAACTTCTGTTGTATACTTTCCACTTTGTATTACTATTTGTTACCTGTCTGTCTGTCTCTTCCTCAAATCTCGAGAGCAGAGAATAGAATGCGTCTTATTTTTTGATTCCTCAGAACCAAGCATGGTGATGTATGTACTTAGCCTGAGTCCTCCATGAAGGTCAGTTAAATAGAATCCCTGAAATCCATTTTCTCTTGTTTCCCAGAGTTACTATCTTTTCTATTGTAATAGAAGTTTCTTTTTGTTTCTCTTAAATACAGTGTGGACACCTTTGGACACACACACACATGCACACATGCATACACACATTCGGTATTAAATCACAAGTTCTTTAAACACAGACACTTCTTTTGATCCCTTCATTGCACCTTAATTGTAATAGGTAATTAACATATGGCAGTTTAATTGATTTCAAGAAATTTAACAAATTAAAGGGGAAATTTATATTAACTAAATTTATTGTGTCTCCTGGCTAGCTTAGTTGGTAGAGGGCGAGACTTTTCAGAAAATTGTTTTATCCATTTTCTTTTCTTTCTTTCTTTCTTTCTTTCTTTCTTTCTTTCTTTCTTTCTTTCTTTCTTTCTTTCTTTCTTTTCTTTTCTTTTCTTTTCTTTTCTTTTTTTTTGTCTTGTATTTCAAACTTACTCTGTCACCCAAGCTGGGGTGCAGTGGGCGTGATCCTGGCTCACCACAGCCTCTACCTACTAGACTCAGGTGATCCTTCCGTCTCAGTCCCTCCTGAGTAGGGACTGTAGGCACATGCCACGACACCCGGCTAATTTTTTTATTTTCTTGTAGAGATGATGTCTCGCTGTGTTGCTCAGGCTGGTCTCGAACTCCTGGGCTCAAGTGATTCTCCTACCTTGGACTCCCAAAGTGCTGGGATTACAGGCGTGAGCCACCATGCCTGGCCCATATTTACTGACTTATTTTGGGAAAAGTACTGGAGATACAAAGATCAACAAGACATCGATCCTTGTACTCAAAGA